AATTTTAAATTTTAATTAATTATTATAGATATGCCTGATGAGACAACCGTGGATAAATAAAGTATTCTTCTTCTTCTTCTTCTTCTTCTTCTTCTTCTTCTTCTTCTTCTTCTTCTTCTTCTTCTTCTTCTTCTTCTTCTTCTTCTTCTTCTTCTTCTACTTCTTCTTATCGTGGCTGAGAGATCGAGGTACATGCGCAGCGCTCGTTTCGGTTCTTAAGCGGAACGATATAAGACGTCAGCGAACGGAACGGTAGCGAAACGATTCCCAGGCGAAACGACTGATGAAAAAAATGATATGAAAACGTTAGATAGCGGGCGTCCTACTTTCCCTTGACCTTGTCTTCGCGACGTCCCTACGATCTAAGAGCCTGGCTTGGGCTACTTGATACGTCTATTAATAAACTGTTGTTCATATTAATGTACTGTATTGAACTCTTCTGAACTCGATGGCAGTTATTACCTTTTTTCTGACTTAACCTTGTTGGCCCCGAATTTACGAAGCATTCCTAACTTTTAAGTTATTCGGCATCATAGATCTCAACTATTGTTTCTTTCACTCCTAGGAGTGGGAGACGTTAAAATACGCCTAAAATATCAAAGAGGCTGCTGGTCAACATCAAGTTTTCATTACAAAATTAGATATAAAAATTTAATATTAAACTCCTTTGTCTAATTCTAAATTATAAATATTGTAATGTTGAAAGGCAAAGAAAATTAAATACTAAAGTTTTATATTTAATTCCATTGCCTGGTCTATTTCTAAATTACATATATTTTTTACATGCTGTCTAACGCAAACATATTTTTTACTATTTATGGTTCCCATATTCAATAGTTCGATTATCTGAAAAATCTTGACAAGATCTCTTTTGAAACTTCTGTTGAAACAGGTGGAATAGTTATTTGTTTTCCAGATCCCTTTGACTCTGAGCCTAGTAAGACACCACAATTCGAGATTAATAAAAATCGATTACGGTTCCAAATCAAAAACGAAAAGTTAAGAAAATCCATTACCATCACGACAAGTAATTCACGTATTTAGTTGGTTGTTTGGATTCATTTGAAATCATCAGTCTCGATGTTTTAATTCCTTCCGCTGTCAATTAAGTCAGTTGCGGCAGCCGTTCTTGGGTCAGTTCACTCTCCTTTCTGCTTAAGACGTGCGTTCAATAGGTGTTTTTTTTTATCTTATATTATGTCGACCAGCAACTTGAGCAACGTCTCATCAAACGAAAAGGATCTGGATTGTGGACTATTATATGAGCCATACGTGTTCAAAGTAAGTTTGATAGTTGTCTACTGTATGGTCTTGTTGGTTGGCTTGACTGGAAACGCCCTTATAATCACCATGGTGTACAAGCGGAAAGACTTAAGAAAGACTATAAATCAGCTTATCGCCAACATGGCATTATCTGACTTTGTCTTTCAGTTAACATTCATTCCAGTTGAGTTGGCAAAAGCAGCGTATGGTCAATGGCCGATTGCTGAACCGGCCGGATCAATCGTCTGCATGATCCAGAGTTTTGTTATTTATGCCTCTGTCTATGTTTCTGTACAAAGCCTAACTTGGATTACATTAGACCGGTTTATAGCGGTAGTCTTTCCAATGAAAGTCCATCTGATTTCCTCCAGATTTCGCGTTTTGGCCATTGCTTCCACGTGGATCGTTGCCCTTTTGTGCTGCTCTGCTTCCTCTATTGATTCTAAAGTCGTGCACAAAAATGGTGCACTTGACTGCACAGAGGAAACAAATTCTCAATATGCTGGAGCGGCCGGTTCCTTTGCTTCGTTGATTTTCATAACAATTTTTTACTGTACTATAGCGGTAACTCTACGAAGGAAAAATAAAGCGCTTCCCACTTCAGCTGTGAATGGAAACGTTCAGAGAAAACGGCAAGCCATGAAAATGTCCATTTGCGTCGTGGCAGCCTTTTATTTATGTTTAATCCCTGTCATTATTATTGCCTTGTTGTCAGGAAAAGTACTGGAAAGATCATGTTTGTTACTCAGAGTACTATGGCCATTTACTGGCCTGACGATCAACCTTTCAAGCTCGGCAAATCCAATAATCTGTTTCATCTTTGTCGAAAACTACCGGCGTGGCCTGAGAGAAT